AGCCAGCCAAGCCTTCTCTATCCTAGCAGTACACATCCTATTAGAAAGAGTTTTGCACCCACGCTCTAAGTAACAGGATGCTCAACATAAATTAGAATTTTGCATGAATAAAAGACAGCTGCATTGAAAAGGGGTTAGTCAGTCTTGGTTAATGCTCTCTGAATACAACACATGTCCTGTATATGCTAGTCTTCAGCCTCCCTGGGCACTGTATTCCTCAAAATGTTAGCTCTTCTTTGTATGGGATAGTAATTTATGCACATTTACAACACGGTTGTTCTTCACTGACTCCCCTGTGAGGTCTGTTATTTAACCCTGGACAGGCCTCCACCAAACACAGTGTCCTCCGTTTCTGCTGTGTGGACTGTGTGCATCCATGCAGGATGCTTGGCTTGACCACTGACTGTGAAACAGTCATGCCACAGTCAACTAGCTTGAGTTATTTACTGAGCTGAACTAGCTCTAAGTTAACCAGCTGTTTTTCCTAAATGACACATTTTCCCTGTACAGACATGGGTGGGAGAAAAAAAAAACTTTTGCAGCAGCTTTTTCAGTAAGCTGGAGGCTGCAGAAATAAGGAAGGTAGAAACAATAAAGCATAATATGAAGAGTATGTTGAGAAGAGCTTTGGAGCTGTGGTCAGCTTTGCCTGAGTCATGTGAAAAGAAAACCACGAGGCTTTGACCATATTAGACTGTCTTACACAGGTAAGTATAAAGATTCTTAAATAGATGAAAGATGATAATTATAATTTCAAAGAGGAGTAAATCACTACCCACACCCTTTGGCTCCCTACATGAAGATCTTATCAAATTAAATTATGATCTCTTTCTGGAATAACGAGGCAGAACTTCAGCTGGTAAAAATCAGAATAGTCCCATGGACTTAAAACATACAATAGTGACTTACTCAGACAAAGCTCAGTCCCACTTGCCTGCTCAGATGTCTTCTCAGGTGTCCCCCCTCCTCCCAGCGTCACACTCAAGCCTGTGTGTGCCACAGCTGCACACTCGGACTAAACCAGCCTGCTGTTCAGAGACAGCTTTCTCTAGACCTGGGGAAGCCAGCACTTCAGAAAAATAGGCTTCATATTTAAATGTTTATTGTAAGGACAATAAACACCACCAATCTTTTGTTAGTAATGGTATCTCTCATCATAGTGGTTGGCCTTCAATGCACTGACAGAGCCAAAGGCGTCAGAAGACTGAAGGGACAGTCGCGACCATGTTCTCCAGCTTCCCATAACCAAAGTCAGAGCATTTCACACTGTAAATCTTGTATCCAGCCCTCTTTCCAGGCTTGAGCTGGAGACTGTGTAGTAGAGAACCACAGCAAGCTTGCTACACTGTGCAAGTGGTTATGAACCTTCTCTTTTAAATACACGTTTTATTTTTAATCAGAATTTGTCTAAAGTCGGTGCAAACCACCCATTTGTGTGTCTTGAAGCCTTACCTCTTACGTTTGGAGTCCTAAATTCAACATGTTTACGACTGGTGTTCCAGAGTGCATTCTGCTGTGTAAGTGGTTGTGAAATACCTGTGCTCTTCAAGTCATGCACATTTTAAATAAGAATATGCAGCTATCATTTTGGTCAGCTGATGCTGAAGATTTAAACTTGTAAGCACTGGTGTGCTCTCCAAGCTGATAAACATGACTGATAGCTACACTCCACCCAGAAAGAGAAGCATCAGCAACAAGTGGCACTAATTTAGCAATTTCACAGGGCAGCAAGGTACCTCTTGCTATTATTTTTTTTCTGCATGGTTGTGCATGGTCCATTCCTGTCAGAGGTAATGTTGATAATAGCTTGAATGACCGAGAGTTTTACTGTTGTGACCGTGTTAGGAATTAGTTTTTTCCTGCTTTAATTTACAGTCCAAAAAATAACAAACTTTTACAGCTCTACTGTTTAAATGAAAAGACTTTCCATGAGCTTCCATGGAGGAGATGTAGGATGCACTATTTGTAGCAGATCTGAGTTCTTTCCCCCTTTCCTGCCCCCACCCCGATCTCCCAAACAAGCTTTAAAGAAAGGATTCCCTACTCGTGTCAAGGCATTATGGCAACCTCAAAACCAAGTAAGTTTTCATTTTGCTAAGTCTGCAGCCTAGGATGAGGTGATCTAATAGCTCCTGCTGCCAGGACTGGGAGGTTCTGTCTTCCCTTTTCCCCTCCTGGCTGTGCATTCCCACTGCTCACCCTGCGCTGGCTCTGGGCCTCCTTACGCTGCCCTTGGTGAGCTGACTCAACTCATTAACCCGGCAAAAAACAAGTGGATCATTTTCTGCAGGGTGGCAGTGAGCTGTTAGATTGAATCACCTGCTCTGATGAAATCACGGCCATTGTTATTAGCAGACTATCTTCATCCGATAACAGATAAATAACTGCCATCACAATGGCAAGCTCAGATATATAGATATGCAGCTCCGGAGAGCTGATTCTCTGCTGCCACATATCCCTCTTATTCATACCTCTGCCAAGTGAGTGTAAAAAGCTGCTAGTTCAGAATGAGCTGTTGGTGGTACACATGCATTTGGCTCTGAAGAAAATGACTCTAGAAGGGGCAGAGCAAAGGGCGGTTCCCCTTCCCCTTGGTGCTGGTAGCAAACTTGCAGTTGATTTTTTTTCCCCATAAATTTTGATGACACCAAAAAAAAAAAAAAAAAAGGCTGTTGCAGTCTCCTTCTAATTCAGCATTTTGGCATGCTGCACCTGGCAGAAAACATTCAGTCATGAGAAGGGTCACTGAGGACTGGTTCCTGCTGTTTGTTATTATCTGTTGGCACTGCAGTAGCACCGTTCTTGGAATTTGACAAGGGAGAGGGACTGGCCAGTACCACAAGGAAGTTACGGTCCGAGTCAGACACACTCAGTACAGCACAGACACAAAAGATACAACGCAAATGACCTCTAGATCAGTAGAGAAGGTGCCTCTATTTTTTTCCTTCTTTTCTTTATCTGTGGCTGGATATGACTGAATGGTTTCCCAGAAACGCCTCTTAAACAGGGAATTGAACTTCAGTCATATCAGGACACTGTCACCATTTTATAGCTTTAAGTGCACTGTAGTAGACTCATGTCCTAAACTTTTTTTTCCCACAGATTTGCTCTCATTGTTATTTGTTGCAAACAAACTTGCCATGGCTATATCTTTCATAAATCCTGGTGGAAATGGGCCTGCTAGGACTAGCGGGAAGAAGCCGCAAGGTACCTAGAGATCTTTTAATTTATTTGTTTCTTCTTCCTCCCTTTGTTGCGGAGCTAATTTTATTTCTGCATGTCTACAAGGATCCCTGCACGCCTGCCATTTGTGAAATTTTGCATTTTCATGTTAGCAGGCTGGACATCCGCCAAGTAGCTCTCACTTGCACAATGACAGCAGACAATGTGCTTTGAATTTTCCCTCTGCACAAAGGTCAGTGAATTTTTCCTACTCACTTGACTGTTTCCCTGCTGTCCTGTAGCTCGCAGATAAGTCCTCAGCTGTTTTCTACTGTCAGTTCTGCTTATATAAGAAACTTCCTTTGCATTTGATGCAAATTAAGGCTCCTGAATTCTGTCACATGAAAGCTCCCTTTGAAAATTGGAGAAATTGGCAATGCTCTGCCCTCTTCCTCAGTGCTATTAAAGGCTTTATCATACACTCAGTTCATGCTTCCCCACTGAAACGCAAAGCTTTCAGCAGCAAGGAGGGGCTGGGTGTCAGAAGCTCTTTAGTCAATGCTTATGTTTTAACCAGTAAATGTTACTGCCTGGATCATCTAGGGAATGCTAAAGGTTTCAACTGATCTCTATAGGGTTTCATTTAAAAGCAGCTAAGCCAATTGCTTTGAACAAGTATTTGAAATGAGGTGGCTGCAGAGGACTTGCTTATATCAGCTCAGAGGCAAAAGCTGGGTGATGGGCTTTCTGGTACATCCAGGGACAGCGAGGTGCTGGGCTGCAGCTGCAGGGAGGTGCGGCGAGGCTTCTTGGACACATTGGGCAGGGTCGGGCAGCATCGGAAGGAACAGCATTGCCAAATACTTCTCACACCTAGTCTGGTGCAACCCAGGCTCCTTGGCAGAGAGCTGCAGAAGCGGAGCAAAAGTCTGAGGACAGCCCTAGCCCAGATCGCCACATCTCTGTCTCACCAGACATCCTTGTTGTCCGTACGACGTGACATTGATATAATTAAAGACCTGCCCCTTCCCACTCAGTGTAGAGCTTACCCCGCACCTCACTGCTGGACTACAGCTGCTGGGGCATTGCTCCTGCAGTGCAAAATGTCCCAGCTGATACCACATTGCTGTTCAAGGCTGATTTCTCTTGACCACATGGTCCTGGCTGCTGGATCTTTTGCTTCTGCCATTCTTGGTTGCTCTCCACAAGGGCTGAAGGCAAAATGGCCTTCCAAGAGCCTGCAGCATCAGGATCCAATTGGGGAGGAAGGATGAGAGGTGCTCCTGAATAGAAAAGATGATGAACAGGTGCCTCTTGTGAAAAGCTCCAAATTTCCTGCACAGCCCACTGAAATTGAGAACTATTTTCAATTAAAAAAAAACCAAAACAAAACAACAACCTAGGAACTTGTTGTATCCCTGGTACAGGGGGACTGGCTTAGCAGCCTGATCAGATGCTGGCTGTGTGGCAGCACTGAGGATCATCTCCCTGGTGCTCTTATGCTATCAGCAGTCAGATGGAAACCAGACATGTTCCCGTTGTTTCCACAGCACGTTCCAGCGATTGCAGTGGTTATAGCAAGCATGTACACCAAGACAGAGACATCTCTATTTCGTGGAACAGAAAACCACCTGGACAGCTTTCGCATGAAAGGAGATTTCCACTTACTGTGTTTTGCTCAGCCCTATTAATCACAGAGACGTTTATAAGCAAAATATGGATCTGCAGCAGAATGTAGGTGAAAAGTTCATTCAGACAGGAGAAAGCACAGCTCAGCTGTGCTCATCAAACTTATTTTTCCATGTGCAGTCCAGCTTCCTCTGTTTCATTTCTTTGCCTTTCCACATACTTTTCCTACTTTTATCGCTGTTTACAATCTCTTTTCTCATGAACTGTCTTTCTTACTTAAGAAAAATACCAAACAAAGTACTTCTCTGGGTTCCTCTTTATTCCTTCCCATTTTGGTTTCACAGTGGACTCTCTCAGGATCTGTTACGGAGGGTTAGTTCTTTACAAATCATTGACAAATGTCAGGTAAACTCCGTGCACCACAGTCATCTTAAGTCTCCTGTCCTATGGTGCTAACACATGCCTCTTGCACGGGCAATAGAATCTGAGGTTTTCACAGCACAGGTATAAGTGAAGCACCACAATATTAGCAAGGATTGTGTTACAATTAAAACCTGCTGGAAGAAGGAGCAGGAAAGTTAGCAGAATATATGGGTGGAGGAGAGGAGTCTTTCTCTCTCTCTCTCTCTCTTTTTTTCTCTCTCTTTTTCCTTATTAAGTGACTTGATCTAAGGGAGATATCATTTCACGGGCAGACTACAGCAGAAAATGGCACGGGGCATGGAAAACACCTCCATCCTGTGGCTACAGCACCTTCTACCCCAGCAAAACTCCCACCTTTGCCCACACCTCTCCGTGTATCCAGAGACTCCATTGATTTGGGAAGGGCCGTGATTCTTCTCTGTGCTGTTTTGCGGGGAGGAAAACAACTTTTACTGTGGGAGGGTACAAAAACGCAGTCTGATGCCTGTGCCTCCCAGCTGCTGGCATGTACAGTAAATGCAGGTAGCACTGCCTCTACTCCGGGGAGCAGGCAAGGACAAAAGCAGAGGCAAGCAAGACTGGGTCTTGCAGACCAAAGTTTCGCCAGCTGCACAAGGCAGTGCAGAACATGGCACTAGTATAGTTGTCACAGACGCCATGATACCTTTGCCTCCTAGTAATTTTGGTGTCATTAGATGCTGCTCATAATGGGAAGTCGTGATTTTACTGTGGTTCTGGTATGTTGTCCATAATTAGCGTGCAGTCCTTTAATGCTAATTACCTTAAGTATTAATTCCTTAAACATCAATTAAAAAAAATCACGTGAAAATTTACCTCTTCCTCAAACGAATCATGAGTTAACATGGGGGTACTTACAATGTACTACTTAGACTTGCTTAATTAGTTAATCTGTGTAAAGGGGTTTCAAATGTGTGAAGAGCTATCAAACTGCTAAGTGCATTATCTTCAATTAATTTTGTGCAACTACATCTTCACTACCAAGAGGGTCTTTAGAGTGCTGAGGAAAGGAAAAGGAGACATTGCTTCTAATTTTAAAAGTAACTAATCAAAAAAAAGAATTAATTGAAAGATGATTTGACATGGTGGGAATAAGGGTGAAAATACCATTTCTTCTGTTTCAGCCAGACCTAAATATGAAAGATTCATCATTCATATCCCTCCTCTGCCTTTGCTGGTCTCTGGTTTCTCTGCTTCCATCCTCCCCTGGTCTTAATCCTCTCTCACACTGAATATTAACCCTCTCTCTTCCAAATTTGATATTACCTTAGCAAAAAAAAAAAAAAGTTAAAAAAGAGCAAATCACAACAAAACACACTTCAGACTGTGGAGTCGCTGAGGTTACACCCTCACACCAACCCAATAATAAGGTAGCTTGTTCCAAAAGAAGCCTCACAGGCTTCACTTCAAAAGGAGATGTGAACGGCCCAGAACAGAGGTCCTTCAAGAGAACAGGGCCAAGTCCAGCCCAAGAAGTCATATGGTATCTCTCCATTTCTTGAACTACCCTGGTAGCCAATGGAGATAAGCTCTTAAAGTGTCTTTCAAAGTTTTCCTATTCTATTTAGAGCTTATATGCCTTGTTAATTACTCTGATTTTACTTCACCCATTAATAATCTGCTTTTGGTGGAGTTCTCTCAAAAATTTGACAATGGGTTCTTTCTGGTAATACTCTGTCTAGCTAGCAGCTTTATTTAGGCCAGCTACATTGAATTGGACTTTACCAAGAACCTATTTCCTGGATTATTCTTCTCCCACTGGGACTAACAAAAGATAAGAACATTTTTCTTGCTGGGTCTGGTTTGTTTTTAGAGTTTTTCACTTGCCTTTTCTTTCTTTCCCAAGAATGATAAATCATCACTTCCTTGCTGACCGCTGAGGTCCCACATGTTGTGAAAAATTCAGGCAGCTTGTTTAATATCAACTTGCCTGAACAGTGGTTATGCAGCAGTGTCTCCTTCACAGGGTTTGATCATTTTTAATGTGCATTTGTAGTATATTTGTATCACATCTGGGCATTCACTTAGCAATGATTTGAATGATTTGAAAACCATTTACCTTATTTTATCCAAAAGAATCTGGAACAGAGAACAGCCTATATGATGGCCACAACTTTATTCTCCACATGCTGTAAAGTAACAGCTTAACCTGTTGGATGAGGCATTCCACTAGCAAATCAGAATTTTGTACACGGTGATCCTGAACACCCCATGTTCTCAGCGAAAGAACTTCTGCCACCAAACCAGAAAAACCTCTTCTCTCCAACCCCTCCCCAATTTGGTTTTACAAAAGGAACCAGTGAGGGATATTAATTGTTATCTGATCCAGTGGATATTACTCTAGCTGAAGGGCCTGACCTGCTCTAACCAGGATATCTAACAGAAGTGTAGGTACCTCAGAGAGCAGCTTGAAAATGGGACAAGTTGTTGTTACGGGGTGCAGAAACAAGAGCAGGACTATCAGAAGAAGCAAAGAAAGTAGCTTCTCACCCTCCCATACCTTTACCAGTGGTTTGTTTGTACAAAAGCTTGCAGGATCCTTTCCCTTCATCTGGTATATCCATACAGTCCATACCCACAGAAGGTACTAGAAGGGTAAAGCCAGAAACTATTTAGAAAAGTCAAGGTTGCCTTGCACCTCAACCTAAGGCCCCCTCACTTTCCTTCCCTACCTGAAAGATTAATGTGATTACCAATGATCATTTAATTCACCTGGGTGTTCCTCCTGCCTCTGAAAGAAAGGTGAAATGGAGCCTGAAGAGACTATGAGTGCTACCAGATCCAAAAAGAAGGGGTAGGGCTACCTGAATACTGAAGCCTGACTTGTCTGAGGTGCATTTCCACAGAACAAACCTAATTGCAGGAAGTTATCAATACTTAGCCAAAGAAGTCACAGGGCAGGGAGGATCCAGCAAGGTCTCAATGGATAGTCCAGGATGCTCCCTCCCCTTCATGGATGTGAAAAATAGGGGAAAAAATTCCTATCCTCTTCAAAGGGTTCCCTTTCATACCAACATTTCAAAAGATCAATTGCCAATAAATTAAGACAAAACCAAAATGTCCTGGGGGCCAGGGAAGATGCACTCCCTCTCTGTCCCTGTCATGTCAGAAGAGCAGCTCCAATATGGCTCTCTGGGGCATACTGTGCCCTCACAGGGGCACTGGTGTGACGTAGTTGGCAGGGAAGAGACCCAGTTCCCCACGCAGACGTCCTTTCCACCATGATGGGTTGGAGCTGTCCAGGACCTCTAAGATGTCTCCACTGCGGAAGCCCAGTTCGTCATGCTCCACAGCATCAAAGTCATACAAGGCACGGACCCATAGCGTTCTCTGGAAAGGAGATAGAGACAGGCAGGGAACAATGAGGCACAATTCTTAAAGATTATCCTCCTGTCACCCCTCTTATGCCCCAGTACTTATGTTCACTAAGAGAGGACAAGCAATGTTGAAATTGAGACCATCTTGCAATTAAACCAGGAAGTGGCCAAGATGCCAGGAAGGAGGGACCAGTTTACTGGCACACCCAAGGGATGGTGCTTGGGTTCTCAGCAGCCTCAGTATATTCGTGGGTATTCACACCATACGGTGAAAAGTCAGACTGAGACCAAGTCCTTGGGAAGTAGTGTTCACATGGCTCTCTCTCCTCCACCCTGTAAGATCAGCTGTGGTAGCCACGTTTGAAGCCAGTTATGGGAGCACAGAGCGGGCTCCTGCCTGAGTCCTGCTGGGCTGTACACTATAAGTGAATGGCTGTAGGGAGGTGAGCTGGTGCTGGTACGGATATAGAAATGCGTCCTTGGCCAGCAGAGGACTATGAGAGATACAGTAAGAGAGCCAGCACACAGACATACGTTGTAGTGAACATGGTGAACATTAAAGAATGATACTTGCTCTTTCAGGCACCTCTGAGGCATAGGGGAGGGTCTTAAACTTTCTTTGGACTCTCCCCAAGGTCAGACGCCTGAGATCAAAAGGATTTACGAACTGTTCGGGTATCAGTTTATTTTGGGTTTGCACTTTAATGAGCACTATGGTCAGATTTTTTTCATATGAGAACTTCATCGTAAGAGACCTTGCAGTCAATCATCTCCCATTTTGACTGGAAATCAGATTTTAAAGGACATAGCATGGGCTTCTTTTCTGTGAAATTGTTGGCACCCACACCATGGGGCATGGACAATTTGGGAGGTATATTTTGTGGGCACAGATGGAAAGATCTGTTTGAAGACAGACTAACTTTTGCTGAATCTTCCATTCAGGGCCCTGCTTAGACATGGCTCCTAGTTATTTGGCTGGACATATAGATATTCCTATAATTGGATTTGTGGCTTCTAGATCACTGATGGGGTGTGGCAGGCAAGGGCATGTTGTTATTCATTGCCACAGCCTCTGAGGGATAAAAACCATTGTATTTTGAGCTGGATTATAATAAAGATTTAGGGCTTTTGCCAAAAGAAGATATGTCTCTGTTTCCCAGTTTGTTCCCAATTTGCTAATCCAATCTGTCCTCTTTCTCTCACAGTTGAGAAAGGTCTGCTGTCCTTCTCTTCTCTCCTTGGATCTAGGTTCTCTGGTTGTTCTGGGCTAAGCTGTACATTTCCTCAAGGAAGAGAAATGTGCCTTCTTAGGTCACACTCCTAAGAGCTGATGGAGAAATACTTTGGAGTTGGCAGTGGAATCATGGGCTGAGGCAGAGAAAGACACCATGCTCTATGCAGGCATTCACATAGTGGGAATTTGCAGAGCAGGTGGTTACTTAAGTCAACTGCCAGGTATGGATCCAGGTAGGGGAGCCATCTGAGATGTCTGCAGAGACATATCTGGATCATGCCCACATCCACTGTGCTAGGAAGCTCTGACAGATAAGGGTGACAGGTAGGTGAGTCCCTCTTTGATGGCATAGTAGGTCCAAGAGGATGTGCCAGGTGCAGACAAGTAGAACTGAATGATGACAGGTCTTCTCATGACTGAAGCAAAAAGTAGTGGAAGAGAGAGTGTGACTACAAATGCATTGCAAGACAGAAGGAGCACAGTAGCATGGCACAGTATCATGAGGCAATTCTCCATAGGACTTAAAAAGAGTACTGTACATCTAGCTACTGTGCTTAGGAAGGCCTGGCTGTGGTGGGCAAGATACTTGATAGTCCCTTGCATCAATGGACATGAAGCCCTTCTAGGAAAGATCATTAGGTTTTCAGAAATGTCTTCTGCTGGACTGGAACCATGCTTGATTCAAACCCATGGGTGAGCTTGGGCTCATTCACAATGTCCCAGAAGTCTGTTTTGTTGAGCTCATGCTAAGTTCTTTCTTCTACTAAGTCTGCATATTAGCTAAGACTGGCCTGGAGAGCAGTCCTAGAACTACACTCGTATAACACCAAAGTCCTACCCTCAGAGTGCCCCAGAAGCAGATTCAAGTGGCTGGGATAGAGTCTTGAGACTCAGAAACATCTTCTAAGATATGTCCTGGCAGGCTTAATGCACTGTTCCTCATGCAACCTCTGTGCAGGTGACATTGCCCAGACTGCTTGGCCATTGCTAAGGGACCCACTGAGTTGGGCAGATGGGGTCTTCCAGGTGTATCACCTACCGGTGTCTGCTGGTGCAGTGGGTCTGTGTGTCTCCGTTGCATAGCTGCTGCATTTCCTTGGCCGTGATCCCTTAGTCCATGCAGCCCATCTTTCCTGTCCAGACTCCCACCATACCTATCCTAGAAAGAAAACAGCAAGAGAAAAGTCATGTATATGCTGAGATGTATAAATGAGGGGCTTTAAGAGTCATTGGTGGCCAGGGAGTCAGGGTCCAACCCTCAAGTAAATCATCTTAGATGTCTGTTTCCAATACAGTCCCTGTGCTGCAGTCCTGCAAGCAATGCCCCTCATGGAAGACGTCACCTTAGACTGTTCTATTTTGGATTTTTCTTCTTAGAAGTTGAAAGTTGACTGTCCTCAACTGTGTTCCACAGCTGCTGGGAAAAGTGGTCAGAGAGCGGCTTTTTTGGCCCCTGGGACTTTTGGAGAAAACCTAAGGCTGTTCTAACTCACAGGTGAAAAGCAATGCTTGCCCAAAAAAGTGGGACTTTTCCCACTCTGGAGTTATTATGGCCCAGTTCTGCCCACTCCTTGCTCTTCCTCTGTCCCATACGCTGGTGGAATGGCAGCGATGCTGATGCAGCTGACTGTATATTTGAGGACTCACTACTTTACTTTTTCTTGGGCTGCTCCATGCTGTAAAGGGCAGGGAGCAGGCCTGAGAATCCAGTAGCCCAATTAACCAAAAAGGACAGAGATAAAATAATGTTCAAAGAAAAGAAGCCATATGACCACACATCTGAAGTCATATAAACACAAATCAAGCCGGACAGGCGGAGAGAGGAACTAGGCAACATCTAGGGAGCAAGTTCTCTTTTGACTGCACAGCTGAGAGGTGCTGAGTGTCTTCATCCCTCCAGGCCCTTAGTGCATGCACTAAGCTTTTTTCATGATAAAGGTGTGACAGAATCTGCTATCATGTTAGCTTAGGTTACAGCAGTGCTTCAGTGACACAGGGTCTGATCAGTTGTGTCAACAGAGGGGGAGAAGAACAACAGCTTGTGCTTGCTGCTGCTTTTAAACAGCTTTCATCTTCTCCCTCTTGCTGCTTCCTTTCTTGCACATACTCTTCCAAAAGCTCCCTTGGTCTCATTTGTGCCTTTGCCAGCCTACAAGGTTGCTGAGGCTGCCTGAGACTGGAGCACAATTTGCACCTCACTTGTCCCTGCTAGAAAGTGAGTGAACTCAATCTGGCTTTGCAGCTGCAAGACTTACTACATGGACACTTCACTCCTATGAGTGTTTCTGCTCCATATTGGATGTGACTCATGCATAGACTGTGCTCCAAAGAGTGCAGGCCCTCAGCTTTGTCAAAAGCTGTATTATTGCATCAGTGGTCCCCTGACAGGCAACACTGCTTATCTGATGAGAGAATAGCCATTTCATGATTGCCCCTGGCCTTGCTATATGGGAGCTCTCATGCCTTAAGTTTTCAGCAGGACAAGTCCTCTCCTTGGATGATGCTACACTGTCCCTAGCTAACCCCAGGAAAACTGTTTCCCTGCAAATTAATCCAAAGATAGCACCAGGTGCTGCTCTTGTCCTCTCCATTCATATGCAAGCAAAGGAGTAAAGAAACCTCACACATCAGGGATGCAACATGATGAAAGAGGGCAGAAAGGGCACAAATTAGGGAGGAGGAGGAGGAATGTTCTGAAGGAAACCAAACTCTCCTAGGGTTACCATAGTAATTTCTCATCCCCATGTTGTGTTTTGTGGTGCTGAATGTCAGTAGCATAACTCAGAAAAAAGAAACAGGCAACAAGGTTTCATTTGTCCTACAGACTAGAGAGGAGTTCCTGAAACGATGTATGTGTGTGTCTGCAAGATTTGGGAGTGGTTCTCTGCACTCTCACTGATGATACTTTATGTCCTTTCCTAAGCAAAGCAAGAACATGACAGCATTCCTTGTTTTCCAGTTTTTTGGATGGAGCCCCAAAAACTCCCTAGGAGTACTCCCAGGTTCCCAGTGAAAGGGCCACTGTACACTGACTTCTATTTTTTGCTGGTTTGTCAACCAGTCATAGAACTAAATAAAAGCCCACATATTTATTACACATCAAAAGAGCTCCCCAGGCCAACACCATCATCACTGCTACTCCCATGCGAAGACCTAACTGACTCTGCCTCCTAAGATTAGGTTAAGCATCACAGATTTTTGACAGTGACGGTTCACTCGCTACCAAGCAACTAAGGCCAATGTTTCATATGCCTGGGCTTGATGTCCTAGCCCGTCATTCCTGGTAGTACCTGTTGCTGCTGCAGTATGGGGATAGGATGCTCTACATATCTCTTGGCTATAGAAGAATGATCTTCTCCAGCTGCTCCACCCAGGTGGAATCCTTCCCAGCCCATCCGTTCCAGGCTCCCACTATGCCTCTCCTGATGAAAGAAAGATCAGAAAAGTGAGGTCAGGTTTTGCTTCCCACCACATCCTTGGCTGAAGCTTAGCAATCATTGCACACTGATCACTACCACTACCCTTTACCTTGGAGTAAGGAAAAGGAAAGCTCCTGCCCCTCTGAACAGAAGGACAAATCAGGAATCCTGTATTTTAGATCTTTGCATAGCCATTCCCCATCTGAAGAGTGCGTAGTAATGGGAGATGCTGGGTTGAAAATGTGGCCACTGATGTGAGGGCCGGCACAGGAGCCAGGCTCTTTTTGGAAAAACTTCCCTTAGACTTTATTTGTCTCTGCACTGAAATCTGTATATTACTACCATTTTGTCGTATGGCTGTAGCACCTAGAAATTTGAATTGTGAACAGAAAACCCACTGTGAAGAGTGCTAAACATACCCTGCTGAGCCCATCACCATAACAAATGTACAGTGTTTGCCAAAGCAAACTTGACTCCTGTTCTTTCATTTGCCTGTCTGCATCTTGGAGCAAATGCTGTTCTCTTACCCTTCCTGCTCACAGTCAGCCCAAACAGGTTTACTGATATACATGCATACAGTCATCCTTTCTCCTTCCGCAGACAATTCTTCGCTGTGATCTCTCTCTCATAGGTTCCATAGCCTCTATTTTATACCTTACTAATGCATTTTTAAAGCTCTGTGTAAGTGGTTTAGAAGGAGACAATAACACAAGCCCCTTCTTCAGACTGAAAAATGTATCCTTTCTCTTTTGGAGCCAGCAAGAATGGTGGCTTCTAAATGCATGCAGCTTATAAAACTTTACTGCTGCAGTGAGCAAGTCACGTACTTTCTGCCTTTCCTCTACCTGCACATCCTGGTAATTTAATACCAGAATCCGTTTCCCAGTAAAGCAGGACTTTGGTTACTGCAGTGACCAGGCATGTGCACTCCCAGTATGTGTGTGCAATGCATAGCAGTCTCAGTGTCATTTGCTTGTTCCCCTGGCACAAAACCAGGCATTCATTGGACTGGGATTTCCCTGCCTTCTCAAACATCTACTACATCTTCCCTGAATGCACAGCTTGTTCCCAATCTGCTATGTTCCTCTCAGCAGTACTTTTCAGTTCCTACCAGCCACTGCTCCGGGTTCTGCCCCTGGTTGCTCCACACTCCTTACTGTGTTTGCTTGGTAACAGAAGATGGACGATTCTTCTGAGCAGACCAACTTTCAACTGTAATAACGGCTGCACTCTGGGTGCATTCAAGAACACTAGGAAACCAGACTCAAATTCTTCTCAGACACAACCTACCAGTCAGCTGAGTACCTGTCCTTATAAAATCTAGGCATTTTAATAAGGTAAGTCCTGCTTCCCTTGGATGTGTAAGGCATCTTAGAATTTCAGCTCTGGGGCCTTATCACAGCTTTAGCAAAGCACCTCTATGCAGATTTGCAGCACTGCCTATTGCTATCCAAAACAGAATTAGAAAATTCTGCTCAATTATATAAAACTGTACATACCACTGAATCAACTAAAAATCTCTGTTGGAGGGCCCACCAGTGTAGTGATGCGACTGGCTTTCCAAGGACAGACTCTTCCGCCGCCACTCTGAGACATTCTTATAGGCTGAATTCCTTCCACAGAAAGTTTTCTTACCGAGAAACTCCTAAGGATAGTTTCTGTTTACCTTCTCTTCTCGGCTGTTGTCCCTCAGGAAGATCTGCTTCTGCCTGGAGATGGAATTTGTCTTGTAGTAGTCCACCAGCTTGTTTAGCGAGTGGAATTTCTCTGTCCACAAGTAATAGTTACCCTTTGAATCCCTCATCACTTTGAAGTGTTGCACATCATCTTCATGCCTGGATCCAATTGGAAAAGTAAGACATCATCAACCAGATTGCACTTTTATCTTTTTTGAAAAAGTCTTCCAGAAGAGTACCAAAGCTTCTTGCTTGGCCAAATCTAGACTTCTGGAAAGTAAAGCAATGGCAGTCCCTATGTGTACTAGACCTAGATGTGGCTCTGTATTTCAAAAGACTCATCAATTTACAAACATGGAATGCTGCAGGGCTGCCCAGTCACAAAGCACTATCAGAACAAAGCATAGGGTTTTAAAGCCTCTCCTTTGAAATAAAGGCCAGAGGAGCTTTCAGGGCCACAAATAGCTAATAGCTTTATTCCATACTTTGTTCGGGAGACAAAGGTGCAGTTGTAGTTTACCCACCAGCCTCTGCAGGTTCCTGTTAACATCCAGTCTGCACTGACTATAAGAGATGTATTATACCTTTTCACACCATGGGCATCATCACTACATGCATAGTCACATGAAGCCATATACTGAGTTTTATAATTGTATAATATCTAGTGTAATATCATTACTACTGGTCATTCTCCCTACCAAAAGAAAAAAAAGAAGGAATTATTAGTTGCTGTTACAAGCCAAATTAACAGTCTCAACCTTCTGCCCCTGCTTCCCCCCTGCAAATCCTCTCCTCTTACCTCCTGTCTGATTTGGACAATTCCTCTTTGCACCAAATGTGATCTGGTTTTGGTACCTGCCTCCTTGCTCTGTGCAACTCCAGGAATTCAAAACACTTGTCTCAGAGGCTACATCTGCACAAATAAACTAAACAGGGACCAGGCAGGGACTGAGTGCTATCCTGGAGTGCTACAGTCACACAAGTTGTCAAAGTGTTAGCATGGTTTTGGTCTAAACCAAAAAGCCATCCCCTAGATAGTGCTGGGCCATGGTTAGAGGGACAGAGTAGACCAGGAACTGCTCGCAGTGAGCTGCTTGAATACAGCTGTTCTGTTGTGTGGGCTGAAGAGGGTTTAGCCATATGGATCTGAGCTCTGCCACACTGCTTGACCTCAGGGCCGGAGAAAGAGTCTGACTGTACTTAATTTATTGGTGTAGATGTAACAAGAATGTTTTCCTGCATTCCTCCCAGATACTTTTTGAGCTCCCTGAATCAGAAAGTGCACACTGCTTGGAAAAGACATTGCTAACCACTACTCTAATTTAAAACCGGTTATCAATTGTTTGACTGAAAATTGGGAAACCATCCATCATTTAAGAGCTCTGCTTTGAAGCAAATGCTCTGAGAAGGGCTGGGTTACAATAAGTTGCTGAAATGCAGCTGGCTGCAAGCAGCTAAAAGCCATTCCTGTCCAATGGCTGTTTAGTGACCTGTGGGAAATAAATTAACAACGTAATAGTCATCTTTTAATGGGTAGTAGTGGAATTCTTGGATTCAGTAACCAGAGCTGTCAGGGAATTAAAATAAATGGAAGGCACATGTTTTACACTGTGGGACATGTCCCATGTACCACTCTGCTTTGCTGCAGCTCTTTCAGAGAAGCAGGTCACCAGGGGATGGGGCATTCACTGTGTCACTTGAAAAGTGGCAGAAACATTTGGGAATCAGATGCCTAATTTGTTCTCATTCACAACACAGCAGCACTGCCAGTGACTGGCAGTATGGAAACTTCCCAGGAGGCTACGTCACATTAGGAATCCTGTCAAGAGGAGGCTAGGGACACCATTAAACAGGAAAAGAAGCACGAAAATGCTTTGAGAGGCAGATACCTGACAGAGATGGAGAAGTCACCATGAGAGTTCTGACTGGCTCGGACGATGAAGGAGCCAACTCCTTTGCTCATGAGGATGTTCTCGGCTTCGTGGCGGGATATCCTCTCATCAAACCAGCTGTCAAGTGGGAAAAATCATGGAGACGTGAATAAGGACTGTGAATTAAGATGAGGAACAAAAAAGTTGAGGGTAGGGAGAACGTGAATAAGCGGGGTGGAGGAAAGACAAAACAAAAGGATCAGAGGAGCCCACATGACTACTCCCAGTGGCCACGTACATGCGAAGGTACAGGGTTTTGATGGGTGCAGACCATTTTCTTTGAGCAGTAAAAGCAGTAGATGCAAAGAGAACAATGTAAGCTTTGGCCTGCTAAGAGGCAACACTCAGCTGAAACTGTAATTACAGGCACAGTACAGTAAGGTGTTAGTCAAAGAAATTTTAAATTACAAATGTGTATGTATATATACATACACACATAATTCTCAGACATATACATCAAATTGCTTTTGGTAAACTGATGAAAAATTACTGGACTGTGATGGATATATTGCAAGTGGCACACAAATTTTTAGCAGAAGCAAGTCATGAAAGTTTTAGTACTAATAAATTGGTTCCTGCAAGAGTTATAATACCACAAAATCGCAGAAACACAGAATATATAAGTACACTTGTGTAAATTTAGCCAGGCATAACAAACGATAGTATAAGGCACTGGACAAATAATGAGAAAGTCACCATAAATAGTAAAACAATACAGTGCCAATAGGAATTTTTCAGTAGAGAAAAAAATGATCATGTACACTTATATATATCCACTCCAGAGCTAATAAGATCTACAATCTGCCGTCTTCTGCTTTTACGTAATGCTTAATTGTCTGTATTGCATTAAAATTAAGGACTGATAGTTTCATAAGCTCTGTCATTTCCACTTGTGAGTTTCGTTATACTTCTTACTATCATCACAGTTTACCTATGTATCATTAGCAGAGGGAAATCAGACTTTATTAAGCATTGATAACTGGTCTCAATGATTACTTGAGAAGACAAAGACAAAAAAACCCAGCCCATCAAAAATAGGAGACAGCTTTCTTCCCTACATCTGGTTCTAGCATCTGGCCTGAACTGCTTCAAAGTGCAGACCTGCTACTCTTAGAAAAGCGTCAAAGTGGAAATATTTCTTCACAGCTCTTGCACAGAGAAAGCATCATGAGAAAAATGTGTGTGAAAAAAGAAGCTGCTAGTGTCGCTGCATGATGCCACAGCCCTGTGAAAGAGTGAACAAGAAAAACTGACTGGGAGATCTCATCCCCCTGAGGCCCAAAAGTACAAGCCCATATTTGCACAGCAAACTAATAATGTCCTTCAGCTCAGCCAAGCAGACTGGCTTATATCCAAAAAGGCCCGTAAGTGCCACCTCCAAAGGGGACAGTGGCAGTTATTTGTACCCTCAAAATCCCTCTGCACTCCCAGCTTGCCTGCTCAGGGCACCACTGTGTTACAGCTAGCAGTACCGGGCTTGGTGCATGCTCTGCCTGTTCGCTCCTGAAATGCTGCAGCACTTTTTCAAAAGAGGACCGTTAGAGAGGCTTCAAGGGAGCATTTCTGCCAGCTGAAAGGAAAAGATTGTAAAAATGCCATGCATTGTTATATTTATGGCACAGGGCCGGACAGCACATTTAACATGCATTTAAACACCTATCAGTCCTTTCTGAAAGTGCAGTGCCATCTACTCAGTGGGAAGAGAGAAATGAAGGTATGCCTGTCCTCTGACAGATCTATGTTTGGGTGTGCAGTCACGAAACGTGGAGAAGGGGGTGTGTGTGTGTGTGTGTGTGTGTCTGCATGTGTGTGGGAGCAGGGCGGCATGTCTGGTCTATCATCTCTGTCAATCCATGAGTAACACCAGCTGTCATATTTCACGTAGCATTGCACTGACCTCTAGTGTATCGAGAGAAACACACACACTTTGCGGGGGGGAGGAAATGCGGGTGGCAGGGTGGGGAGTTAATGTAATTAAGAGTCGGGGGGGGAGGGAATTACATTTTTGTAATTCATTTTCAGAGATATCTCTTGCTCTTCCTTTTGTGCTCAGCCTCTGTCTCTGTTGCCAAGACTTCGCATCATGACTATTCTCCTCCTGTCCGAGAAGATCCTCCTGCCACATCCCAGTGACATTCCTCTGAGCAACAGTAACAAAGGAGTCACTTGGGAGTGATAGAGAGCATTGAGAACCATTCAGCTCTGAAGGAACAGAGAATGCTTCAGGGTAGAAATAAGGTGTGCTGGCAGAACTGCGTATAGCATTATGGCAATCCTTGCCAGCCTTAAATTGTAGTATGTTATAACCAGTGCTTCCTCTGTCATGTCTTCCTTTGTGGATGCACACACACATGCTCTTGACAGCACTCTGTGGAAATGTGCCATGGTAGGTGCACACAGTTTCCGTGACACTTACGGGGGAACGTGAAAATCAATGAAGTTCTTAGGAACGTAGCCCTCTTGACTTCTGAGCTCAGCCTTGTACCACTCTTCCTGGGAGCTCAAAACCTGCAATGGAGAGATGGATGGAATAAGCATGTCTCCTGAGAAAGGCAAAAGTAACCAAGACTCAGGCAGAAACCTTGAATTTCTTGTAAGAATAGAAGAGAACTTCACATACGCTCTACTTCCTACCCACGGTGCAGCAAGGTTAGTGGCTGATGACCACTTCGGAGCAAACAAAGCAATAAAGAAAGCCAAGTAGAATTAGAGGGGTTGCTTGTTAACTTTATCCCTTCATCTGAATGCCTGTCCAGGTGGCTGGGGATACCATCTGCATGTCTCTGATGTCTGTGAAATGGAGAAATTCATCTCTGAAGGACTTAATAGGGACTTAAGGAGTTCTCTGTGCTGCTTTTAGTAGTTGGTACTGGAGCATCTCAGTTTCACAAGGGAGGAAAGAAAATCTGTGAAAACTCCTCTGACATGTATGGGTATGGAGGGATATACAGCTATATCTCTGTGTGTGTGCATTATGACTGCACAGATGTTACCATGTGCTCCCACATGTCATTTCACAAGAGATTATTCAGTGGGTTAAGTCCTCAGCTGCCCTGAGCTTTGCCAAGGTAGATAAAAGAAGGAGGCAAAAAGTATTTTAAAGCCACTATAACACTTAAGGGATTGTAAGATAGCAGGAAGCCAGCTCACAGCACACACTGGAGCAGCTTCAAGTGGTGCTCACATTAATGTTGACTGTAATGGTCCTTAGGGACTGCACTGCTGACCAGGGACTGTCCAAATTCACTGCTCCCTGGCTGATGGTCCCTGATACAGCCCTAAGCTAGAGGAGAGAGGACAGGGATACAACCACATTGTGATTTTACTGCAAATGTTGTGGTCTTTGGTGTTTTGTTTGACATTCCAACTCCTGGGACAGAATTCCGCTTTATGAAATAGAACAAGTTTATGTTCTCTCTGGTTTTGGAGAGGAGCCTGAAAGCATGAGCCATGACAGTTTTAAAAGGAGAAAGCAAGTGGAAAAGACTTAATTTAAAATCTATTCTTAACAATAATAATACTTGTTTTGTAAGCCAATATCATGTTTTCGGGAGCCTAACGCACATTCTAACTTGCTTGGCATTGGCAACAGGATGTTACTGTCTCTGGGGCTGATGCTCCATTGCCTTGCCTGCCACATAGGCTTTTTTATGCATTACGGATACAGAAAGGTTGGGGAATGGGAAGCTGTGTAGTTCCCTGCTTGTATAGTCACTGCTTCCCCCATCCCTGGGTGCTGGATTAAGGCTCTTTTTCGCTGCTGTGGCCAACCAAAGGGGATGATAGCTACTCCCTGCTCACGCTCAGGCCCTGCTCTGTTGGTGGCAAAGTTTCCAGAAAGACCCACCTGCTGGTTCTCGGTGCAGGGCTGGCAGGTTTCTGTCAGTGTGTCATCCTCTCAGGGAAGGATGTGGGGGGGGCGGGGGGGCGGTGAGAGGGTGAATTTCCTCCTGTCACTGCTGGTTGAGGGCCTCATGTTTCCTGTTTTCTAATCTCTACATCAATACTGTTCATCTTATCTCCTTTATAAATCAGAAAACACAGCCAGCAGGTTGTGCAGGCGGCAGGAGGGGGCTCATGACGGGGTATGAATGTACGTGTGCGTATGCCAGAAGAGAGATGTTACTCAGGCTAATTTACTGTTACTATGGCTAGGGCGGCTAAGGTATTACTTTGTTTACCTCAAGGACATTAAAGCAAGAGGCAGTCTGAGTTTTCTGGTAGTGAAGTCTCCGTGACAACTAATAATGACACAGATGTGTAGTGTTATTTGACACTTTTCATCAGTAGCTTCCAACGTACTTTGAAAGGAAGCTCTAGCTTTTAATGATTTTACAGGAAGGGAAACTGAGGAACAGAAGGAAAAGTGATCTGGCCAACACCATCACCCTGGCCAGGGACTTGATGAAACCCCAGTCTCCTGAGGAAAAAGATACCAGGTAAAGATCATGGGACAGTAGGGACATGGGGACTGCTCTTGACCTAAGGAAGAATTAGGAATGAGAGTGTTCATCTGTGCTGAAGAGAGGCAGTGATTTCTCCAGTACCTTCTCATAGCTGTCTGGAAAGACCCGGTATTTGATCTTAATGAGTTCTGGATGCCATCAGCTTTGTCTAAGCTTCAAGAATTAAGAGGCCAATAAAATAAAAAATGGTGGTGATGGAAGAGGCAAGGCTGAGACCCAACATCTGGTTATTAACTGGAAAAGCAGGGACGGTACAGGAAGGTAGTGAAGGCTCCCTGGCCAAACAAAGGTTTAGATCCTATTGTTGTACAGCATCCCTTTGGACAGTGGAGGAGTTAAGGCCTTAGAGAGGAGTTATACTCAGGCATTTTCAACTGAAACAGAACAGCTACGCTGCGGGCTGAGAAGTGGGTAAATAGTTAGGGTGGAGCAGCGTGTGACTTCATCTGTGGGACTTCGGTAGGGTTAACAAGAACTGTTCTACCATAACGCAGGCAAATCAACTTTAAAGAGACTCTCACATGCTCTGTCTTGGGTATGATCAACTCTACTTCTGCCATTTCCCTACTGCTAAATTCCTGCAAGGGTGTATATAATATTATTAGCCCAGGACCTCTTAACTCTTCCATTATGTGTGTAACAGACTGTCTCATGGACTTTTGCTCTTCTATTTGCAATTGCCCCAAACCCCTGTGGTAACTAATTACTTACAGTGAAAAGTTAGGTGTAAGTTCTATAATGCATGATAACTATCTTTTAAACAGTTTAGGAACTGGAAATAAGGAAGACAGCAATCTCTCTGGACCACACTCCTCCTGCCTGCCTTTAGACATAGTCATCCTAAACGTAGTCACCCTAGACTATGTACACAGTCAATGAAAACGGGACCCTCAAAATCTGTCTACCGAAGAACTGGATCTCTGCCCCAGCAAAGGCACTTATCCTTCCCTGCTGACTACTGGAGGACTGTAGAGCAACTAAATCCATAGTTTATGGACCTAAAATCAAGTGAAGTGGACACAGACTCAAGCGACCTGGGAATTATTGGTTGACCTATAGCAAGTCCTATGGGAGATGAGTATCTTGCATTTGTATCCCATTTTATAGACATCTGCCTTCATCTGTTTTGTCAAGGCAAATGGGAGCATAGAAAGATCTGGCAACACTCTCAGAAATGTTGCTGCTCAGAAAATTGCAGAAAGTCAAGCCTGGGCTGCACTTACCTTCAGCATATCCCCAGCCTGGAAGCTCAACTCATCCTCTCCGGAAGCACTGAAATCAAACTTGGCGATGGCTTCCATACTGTTTCTCGGTGGCAGAGCAAAGCTGGAAGAAGTATATGCTTATCAACATCTATGAGCTGCTGGGACTGCTGAGTCTAGCCTCTGGAAAGCTTATAGGCAATGCTGTGATTTGTACATGGATGAGCATGCACCAACCATTGGTAGACATTAGTTACTAGACATGGAAAGACATTAGCAGGTAGAAGACATGGCACAGCCAAGAGACTATAATTAGCTCAAGTCAGTAGTTCAAGCAACCCATTGTTTGAACAATGGGTTCAGTTCTCTTTCTCTGCAGCAATCTCACAGAGAAGTTTGCACACATCACCCAAATAAGCTGGTAGCAGGGAAACATCTTTTGTATAGACCATCCACTACTCTGTCACATTTCCCAATAAAGCAAGTGACTCTGTCATGCAGTAGAAGAATGCATTTGCCCTCTGCAGTGACTTACTCTTTATTTCAAGAGTGAGACAAATTGTGGACAAAATGAACAGCCTGCAATAAATACAATATTTTCTTGGACAAGGGCCACAATACTGAAGGTTGAAAAAGACTTTTCTCTGTGATGGCTTAGCATGGGTGACCATAACTTTCAGCTAGGAAAAATTGTTTGCAGAAAGGCTGTATTCCCTATTTTGGAGCAGACAGAGAGTGAAACTGTAGCACTGACGAATTTAAGGCATGCACTTACCCTACCTCAGTGTTGGTAACCCAAGAGCCTGAAATGTACCAGACAGCCTGCAAACCAAAGCCCGCTTTTCATCAGCGGAGCAGATGTGGCAGGGGAAGTAGCAATATGAGTTTCGCTTCTTCACCACTTCCTGCTCATGTAACTCAGATGTACCCCAGCAGGACCACTTCTATAATCAAGAGTTACTCATTTCCCATGGCTGGCTCATGGACCCTGCAACCCAGTGGTGAGGCTGCCAGTGACAAGACAAGAAACAGCTAGGCACTGCCACATTAAGCAAGTGCACTGCTGGTAGATGCTCTTGCAGTCCAGCTTGTGAAGACCATCAGACAGCTCCAATATAGAAGTAATTTTTATGGTTACTAAGCTATGTTCATCTGGGAACAATGATCCTGAAGCCAAAGGTTCCATTACCTAACTTCACCTCTCACAAAACCACCCAGATTTACGGCTTGAGAAGTGCCAACTTGCCTGATCCAAAACGTTCTTAACCAGAAAGCCCTAGAAAGAAACCATATGAACAACCCTAGTTAGGAGGCTATTTCTTGTCTCCTGTTAGAACTGAGATGAGAACCCCAAAATATAAAGGGCTGATACTGAGCAAGCTCCAAAATTATGCCACTTTAAAATCAACAGGCTACTGTAATCCTCCTTCTCTGCAATACCTGCTGTAAGCTTCTTCCTTTGACACACAACCCAGGATTTAACTACCTGTGTCCCAAGGATCCAGGGCCCAGCTCTGATACAGTGCAACTTGACTCAAACTGCTGAGAATGAGCTGGGAGAAAGTCTGCAGGGCAAAAATTATAGACAGAGATAGGACTGTTGAGATGGCACCAGCAGTAGCCCAGGGATTCAAGAGGAAAAAAATCAACATGGGAAGATATAAAATCTCAGAGGAAAAACAAAACCAGAAAGCAGGAGGTTTAGTTGGGAACCAGTCACAAATCATTGGGGTCACTGAGTTGAGTTGTCAGCGCCATCAGTCCTGACCCAGCTGGTGGCAGATAGCAACCATGGAGGCCGACTCTTACCTCCTGATTGATGCCTGCCTCACCGGCAAAGACTCTTCGGCTGCCTTTACACAGGTGATGAGTATGCTAGTACTTAGCCTAATATTTCATTAAATCCTAGGTAGCTTCTCTGTGTGTTAACTCTATAAAGCAGTTTATTGGCTAAGCCGTTTATTTCCTGCTTGCAGAGTCCCTTTGCACTTGACTAAAGATGCCCAGATCCACAAGAGGGGCTGTAACATCACTGGAGATTAGTTCTAAGATTTGTTACATCTCATTTCTAACTATAAAAAGATCTTCACATGCTTCCTATTGGATTCTGTTAGCACCGTCTTTTTTGCTGCTTATAGGTGAATTTGTATTCATGTGACTGATGTGAGCTATGTGGCACCAAGGCAAATTTTTTAGCAGTCCACAGACAGCTCTGCTCGTTCAGCATGAACCCGTCCTACAGCAACTGGGGTTATTTAAGTGTTGGGGCCTACCATGTAGGTTGGAGAACATAGCTCAGTTCTGATCTGCTATATGCCTGCTATTCCAGCCCACTGCCTTAGCGGGCCTCATCAACACTGAACCATAACACCCTATGTTTTACCAATGTGCTTTATTCTCAGTCTTCAGCTTTCCAGCTATTCCAAACATTTTCACCCCCTTTTCTCTCTGTTGACTTACTGATGCTCTTTAATTCTTACTTTGGATACCCTTTGCAGATTTGCAAATATAGCTTAGGTTCGCCCCCTGATTGCCCCACTCTTATTCCATTGGTGTAACTCTGCAGATGCAACTCAGGCCTGATCCGAGAACTGCCCTCTGTTCTCATACTGACAGTTTTGGAGCTTCAGTCTATAACCTCCCACAGCCAGTGTGAGCCCCTTGCATGCTAACAGAGCGTATGGGTATTAAATCAAAGGGGAATTAACCATTGAGGGAACTAGTTAAACAATGATACTCTTTCATGGAAGAGAACTGAAGAAAAAGACTAAAGGAGAATTACTTTAATAAGGGATGTTTTTCAGTGTTTTATCTTGCAGCGGTGGGCTGCTGCAGAGAGATCAGAGCCAACAGTGCAGATGAATCCTGGAACTCCTAAGTGCAGAGCACTAATCCCAGCTTGAGAAAAAAAACACACTTAAAAACAATAAACTGTTTAAATACAAATCCTGTCTTTGATTTTTGCCCTTTAGTCATGGAAGAGACAGTGGGGGTTCTCTCTGCAGGGGGCAAGAGGGGAGAGAGCCTTTCATTTTTCAATATCCCAAACATTAAAGATGCTATTGGATAAGTGACCCCCTCAAAAGGAGAAGAGTTTGTGAAACAGTTAAAATCTCCTCCCTCACCTTCTTTTCAATTTCAGCAATCCCAACCTCGGGGAGAGACCAGGAGACAGACACCTCTTCAAACAATCTAACACATGGATTAAATGTGCTTTTCATTGCCAGCGACTGGATTTAGAAGTGACTCAAATACTATACACAGTGTTGGCTGTGTTGATAAATCAGCAATGCAGTAATGCTGTGGCCTTAAGCTCTTCCCCCACCAACTACTAAAGCAACACTAGCCAATAATCCTGTCTTTGAACTCCAGCCTACCACTTTTCATCACCTGAACTTCAAACCAGTTCTGTTTTTCTGATCCTGTTCCTCCCTCCATCTGTAACTTGAGAATCCTCACTCTGCATGGGTCAGTGCTGGACCCTCATGAAAACTCCCCTGCCTGGGGCCCATTCTTTCTCTCTCTGCATGTGTGTGACTTGGAGCACCACCCCACAACACAGAAAGACAAGAATTCTTTTGTTATTGTCATAACTTACATTTCTCAAACACCTTTTATCCCAAAGGACAGCACTGAGTTTGCAGACAGAGAGACAGATTCCGCTTTTAACTGCCTGGTGCAAGTCCTTTAAGCTTTCGAGTAACCAAGGGCAATTTTAGACTGTGTATAATGTTCTATGTGAAAATCACCTTTGTACAGAGTTTCGCATGAAGTCTATGCAATGTTCAAAGGAGGATTTTTCAGTTCTGAGTGTGAGTTGACCAGTACACTCCGTTTTGTGCTGGCTCTCTGCATGGAGGCAAATTTTCTCTGTGGTTCCCCATTGTAATGAGGCGGATCCAAGGGACATAAGGCTACTGCAATTCTGTGGGACTGGTGCAGCAGAAGATTCATAAAAGGAGAAGTGAAAAGCAGCGTGGCTTTGAGAGCACTAGGTAGGTATTTTAGTTTGGCAGAATGCCATTCCTTGAGCAAGAACATCAGCATCTCTCCGTTGATGAAAAGAGCCAAGGCCTAAATCATGTCAGCAAGCAACATAGTCTGGCAGCAGCATCCCAGAGAGTTTAACACCATTACCCTACATCAAGTTGGGTCAAAATTCAGTAACAACAATGCCAGGGAAGGTGACCACCTATAAAGAGCTTACCACTCAGGGACTGCCCAGGCTCAGACCTGCTCAATCTCACATGTTAACATCACAGAAGGAGGGCATAGTTGCAACGATGTGCCCACTTAAAGGAGCCATATGAACAAAAGTTTTTATTTTTATGCCTGCAGCATGCACATCTCCAGCCTGCAGCTCCATCCAGTGAGGTTTTGCACTGAAATATACAGCGCGAGCTACTGTGTCTTTGTTCGGCTCTGCAAGAGCAACCTATCGGACTGACGGGCAACCAGGGACAGAATTCAACCCTGAACATCTGTACAGAAACTCCAGATGACATTTCAGCAGAAACAATGGAGAAGGGATCTGTTATGTAGAAGAGCTGTGATAGATAAAAGCTTTGTTTTCACCAGCTAAGCCACATACAAGTGGTATGGGAATATTTCGTTCCAAAAACACAAACCTTTTGCTACAGAGTTAACGGTGCAGCTCCACTGACTGTCAGTGATAAGAGGGTAAAATTTATAAGGGAGAACAAGTCACTAAAACACTCAGCACTGTCGCATTTAAGTCTTGGCTATCCTGCCATCCAGAGCAATGTATAGGACTTGAGCTGAGCCTCTGTGTGCTGACAAAATAAGCCTCACAGGATTCACAGAACAAACAAACTTTCAGGACTCTATAACCAACAGCAGTTGGTAAGAAATGCCCCAGACCAGAATGGTGCTTAATCTCCCTAGGGAACCTGGGTCTTCTGTGCTACTTGCAGTCATGACAGAGTAGAGCTGTGAAGCACCTGGGAAGCCTGTGCAACAGCAGCCCCAAAGAGAGTAGCACAATACCGCACAGTGAGAGTATTGTGAGAGAATAAAATAATGAATCTTTGCTGTGCTGGAAGAATTGGTGTGGAGGACTAGGGTGAGGGGAAGTACCT